GTCACTCTGTGTTCCCTTTCTCATGACGATGTCTTGCATGTTTCTAGAACTGGCTGAACAATGGGGAGGGGTGTTTTAAACCTTCTCTTTGGGTTTCTTTCTAGCCAATTGGAGCTTTGCTGTTGGAACATTGTAAAATCACCAAAGAAGAGGAGAATGTCTTTTCAATCAGTGAGTTTTGGATAAAGATTCTCATGGATTTCCCTCTCCTTAAGATGTGGTGTGTAACTTTTCCCTTCTCAGTCAAGCGGAGGAAGGGCAAGAGTAAACATTTCTGGAGTCCGATTATGTACCGTATTGTGGCGGGGGTGTCAGATCTCAAATGGGGCAGAAGCAGTACGTGAAAGGGGAGACACTTAAGGAAAATCCTGGGTGTTGTAGGAAGTGGTGTTGGGGATTCAATGGAGGCCCCTCTTCCCTCTCGGTACTGCATCATTGCCACCTCATGGTATAATTACTGCGCTTCTGAAGAGGCGGTCTCATGGTTGAGGTGTGAAAACCAAGACCCCAAGCACTTATGGTCATTGAAGACCCTGTCTCACATTGTGTCAGTCAGGATGCTAGCTCTGGTGCCCTGGACAAACTATCTGTTTTGCCTCTTGACTCCCCCTTGTATTATCAATAGGCTTTTCAATAAGAATGTTTAGTTCACTCCCTCTCCTAGTGATGCTGTGTGCTCTGTCCCAGAGGTGGCTGCATTTCATGGCTGGCTGAAGAGATCCCTGGGTGCTGTTTGTAGAGCTCTGTGGGATGACAGGAGCTGTGGAAGCGAATGGGTGGTTAAACACCAGGGGAAATTCCTGTCTGGGAAGACTGGATATTGACTCGTTGCTGCATCTAGTCTCTTGCTTTCTGGTAAAAATAAAATGAAGAGGTTCAGATAAAGCACTTGTCAGGGCTGTCCTAGCCCCGGTCCTCCCGCCATGCTGTTTGGCCTTGTGTTGATAGCAGTGGCTCCAGCTGGCTTGCGGCATGTTGTCCTTTGTAAGCAGCCTTTCCTCCAACAAGCAATCATTGTGCAAATGGTATGTGGCAAAAATAACAGGATGTTTCCTCCAAGGCCATCCCCATATCTGTTGGCCTGGCTGTCAGGCGCAGCTGCTTCAACGTGCGGAGCCTTCAGTCCCTCCTTGCTGGAATGGAGGCGAACTCCCACTGTCTCCGCTGGACCCTCTTGAAACAGTGTGTGCCTGCAGAGAGCTGCCTGGGCACCAGCCTGCCGCCTGAATTCCTGCTGCTCTGGGGCCTTCCTCTCCCCTTCAGCAGTAGCAGTAACCCTGGGACATGAGCCCTCTGCTGAAAGGTGCTGGATTGGCAGCCCGAGAGACTGGAGTCTTGTATCCCCCGAATGGGTACAGCAAGGAGACTGCTAGCTTCCCATGCCATCCCAACAATGTGTCTCCTGCTCTGGAAGGATCACCTCCCGGGGGATGGGCCGTTTACTCAGCCTACTAACAAAATGGGGCAATTAGTGGTGGCTTCACGCTCGTCTGAGACCCACCAAAGCTCACTTCACATGGACCAATCATGAGCCAGCAGCTCTGTCCTGGGCCGGAGTCTGTCAGGTGCTCTGAAAGTGACAGATTCTTGCAGCCTATTGCCACCCCATGGAGATCCAGCCCTTCCCTGCCAGCCCACTGGAATGACTCTCACACACTCCCAGTATCCCAAAGCTCTACACAGCAGCAAGTCAGGCTGCAGGTCAGCAACAAAGCAGGCCTATGTGGCAGTTCCTTCCCTAAGACGTTTGCCTGCACTGCTTTGCATAGAGGGATTTGGTGATGCGATTTGGCTGAGTTCTCGCCAAGCTGGAGCCCAGATCTACATTAATTATATCCTGAAGAGCAGAGCTAATTAGTTAAAGGGTCTGATGTGATCTTGGTAAAGCATTAAAGTCAAACAGGGAGTCCATTTCCAATCTGCAGCAGTGCCAGCTTTTGGAAAAGAGCCAAGAAGGGTGAGTTCCTGCTTCTAGGGTAACTTAATTCATCTCATTTCTGCCTCCTCTGTACGTGTATAACTCTCATACCCTCAGCTTGTGGTCCACAACAAAATGCCCATTTCTATACAGTGTGCAATGATGGCTGGTGGCTCTTTTCAAGGACTGAGGTGTTAAGCTGGTCAAATTCCAACTTGTTCAGCTACGTTCTCCCTCGTTGCGTTCCCTGCTAAAGCTTTGAGAGATGGGGTGCTTTTTGCTGCCTCTCCTGAAATTTGGTGTGGTTTAAACAGCTGACCCGTTCCACCCCAGAGGTGGCTGCATTGCAATGGTGCATGAGCTGATTTCTTTGTGTATCCTTCATACAGCTCTTTGGTAGGGTATTTTTTAATATATGGAGATATACCTATCTCATAGAGCTGGAAGGGACCTCGAAAGGTCATCGAGTCCAGCCCCCTGCCTTCACTAGCAGGACCAAGTACTGATTTTTGCCCCAGATCCCTAAGTGGCCCCCTCAAGGATTGAACTCTCAACGCTGGGTTTAGCAGGCCAATGCTCAAACCACTGAGCTATCCCTCCCCGCATCTTGCAGGATGAAAGGTGCCGGGGCCTGGTCCTACTAATTTCTGCCAGTGGATCTCCTGCCCTTTTAAAATAAATAAAGGCATAGTTGTGGCTTGGCACAGGCGAAGGGGTAACTCGTGGTGACACCTGCTGGTGGGTGCAGGGAGCATTTCTCAACCATCCTTTCCTTGTCCCTGGCAGGTTTCATTGAGGAGCCGGACAGGAAATACTCCTTTGAATGTGACACCGAGGAGCAATGCCAGGAGTGGATTGAGGCTCTCCGAAGAGCCAGGTAGGCCAGCCGGTTGGGCGGGGGGACTTCTCCACCATTGCGCCGGTGTTCTGCAGAACGCAGCTCAGCGCTGGGTGTGCCCCACTGGAGTTGGGGAGAGAAGAGGGAGCTCTCTGCCCAGTGCAGTAGAGAGCAAAACACGGGCCTGGCTGTAGAGACATCTCGTGTACATTGTTATCTTGGTCACTGAATAGGGAATTATTCCTGGACCTGGACTAATCCTTCTGCGTGCTGTTTGGTGGACTTCCCTGATCACAGCCACTGGCACTGCAGGCTGAGCACTGTGGAGAGAGGCATTTAGGAAGCAACAATGCGTCCTGAAACGTGTTTGCTCTCTTGACGAGGCTGGGAAGGTGGCTGTGGCAAATGGTCCTTTGCAGAGGCCTGTGGGGAAAATGCCCACTGGCCATCTAGCATAGAGTCTGCCCCATACCCCACTAGTACGGGTGCACATTTTTGCAGCAGTGACTGAGCTGAGACCTTCCTTAGGACTCTGACCAGCGTGTGAAATACATCCCCTCTATTCAGCCAGACACTCCTTGTCTTACAGCTACGAGTTCATGAGAAGAAGTTTGATTTTCTATCGGAATGAGATTCAGAAGATGACAGGGAAGGTGAGTGTCTCCGATTTATCATCCACTAGCCCCTTTCCTTCCATCAAGGCCAGGAATTGTCAATCCGTAGGGAGCGGTGGGGGGTTTGCTGCCTGGTTTATACTGGGAGAGAACTGGAGCAGCCAGAACTGGGGGAGACTGTTTGTTTGTTTTTCCCCCTTGGCCTTGTTGCAGCCCATGGGAAAGATCAACCCCTTAATAACTTAAATCTTGAACCCATCAGTGTCAGAGCTTCCAGTCAGTTTTAAGGAACCTGCCTGCACCAAAGGGTTGCTGTACAGACTGCCTCAGTCTTTCCCATGCAGCAGCAATGGCCTATTTAACTTCATGCCTCCAGCTGGGGAACCTCCAGTGCAGGAGGCCAGGTTAGATCCTGCTCAATGCAGTGGCACTGGTGTATGGGGGTGGCCGGGACTCTGTCCTTCAGGTGCTTGGTGCTCAGGTAAGGTACCTGCCTATGCAATGCAAAGTGCTTACAGCACGTCACGTCTTCTATGGGGCTGGCTGTGAAGCAGGCGTGTAATTGTCCTGATGCCCAGCTGTTCTCATCTGGTAGAGCTCTTACTAATTTAACACTGATCAATGTTTGAACCTGGCAAAACCAGGCAGGGGCTATGCAAGATCCCTTCTGCCAGTGCAGTCATGGGCTTCCCCCACCTCTGCCCTGCTCCTGCTTTCTCACGGAGAGACCAGTAAGCCATAGGATGACTGTGTGACACCAGCACACACACGTCTGTACTAAGATGGCTAAAAAAACAACCCACATAGCTGACTGTCCTACAGCCTCCAGAAGGGCTGATGGACTGTCCTTTGCCACACCTCCCCATCCCCACCACCCTGTGTTTCCTGCTTTGACTAGGAATCAACACTCTGTCTAGAAGTTAATTTGACCATAATCTGATGCCCAGGCCTTAAGTAAATGAATGGCTCTGGCTGTATAATCTCATCTGCGGCAGCTTGTCCCCTGTACTGCAGCACCGTGAGGTGGCCCCATGCTATAATGGGAGGCACTGAGATCTTTAAAGGAACCTCCCTTGAGTTGTGCAGGAAAGGCAGGCTGGGTGTCTCGCTCCCCCTTACTTGTGGGCATGTTGTGCTCTCGCTGCAGGACCCCCTGGAGCAGTACGGAATCTCCGAGGAAGCCCGATTCCAGTTGGGAACACGCAAGCTCTAACCTGGCAGCCTCCGCTCCCACCCACCCCCAGTGGGGCTTAACTGGCACTCAGCCACCTCTTTGTGGGGTGAAAACACCAACCCCCTGCCGGGGGGAGCGCCTGGGACCAAGTGACTTATTTATAGGCCAGATCATTTGTACGTTTGTTTTTTTTTTAATGGATTCATTGCACACTCCCCTTCCTGTTTGTCTTCAGCCCCTCGGAGCTCCCATCTCCCTGCTGGGTTGTAGAAGCAGCAAGTCTTAACTGGCCACTGCTGTGTCAGCTTTAACTTGATCGACCATAAAACTGCTAGGCTGAGGGACGTAGGGGCTGCCCCGTCCTTAAATGCCTGCTCCGAGGGCTGCTGAAAGCCCTCATCAGGAGTCCCGGGGGCCTGGGGATTTCAGCTATGATGCGGATGTGGAAACAGGGCTGGTCTTCCCCCCGGGGGAGCGGCCCAGTGGTCTTCCAGCATGTGGTGCTATTATAAGGCAGGGATGATCTGGTGTAGAGGGTCAGTGTCTGTTTTATGCCAAAAACATGCCCGTAGTGGCAGCATTTCTGCTGGGAATGGCTTCAAGGCTTTGGCCATCCAGCTCTGTAGGCAGCCTGCCGCACCCCCTGGTGGCTGGAGTTTGTCACCTGGGTGCTCTGAGCCAACTGGTGGCTCATGCTCTGCTGGCGTTTGGAAAACTGGCTAATCTCAAAGGGAGGACGAGGGTCTGTCTTTAAGGGGGTGTTTTTTGGCTGATCGCCCGCTTCCTTTGCTCACAGCGGTGGGGTCCTTGGCCTTGAAATGCCAGACTCGCCCTCACTTTAACTCGGTCGGGCCCACTCCAGCTGCTAGATCTGCACTGCACACGGTTCAGCTCTGGAAGATAGATGCAGGGAGCAGCTGTTTCAGGTAGGGGAAGCCCTCCTCTGTTCTGGATGGCTACCCCCAACTGGAGGGAGGAGGAACTGGCCCTTACTCTAAACAGGGTTAACTTGTGTCACGTTACTGCATGGTAGCTGTTGCTGCTCCAGCTGACACTGTGGCTGCAGTGGGCAGTGTCTTCATTTCCTTACATGTACACACAGCAGCAGCGATTGCGTTGTGAGGGGCACAGGGCAGCAGCAACTATACAGGGTTACTGTGGCCTGTCTCAGCTCAACGCTCTCACTAGGGTCTGATTTTGAACTAAGGCAAATTAATCCAGCTACCAGGAGCCACCCTACAGCCTCTTAAAACGCACGTCCAACGTCCTGCACAGGTGTAGGGGTGTGGCTTTCTCACCAGTGCCCAGGAGTGAGCAACGCAAGGGTTTGAAAGACACCTGCAGTGAGGCAGTCTAAACCAAACTCCTCCCCCGGATCTTGAGAGCACGCTGTGGTCCCTAGTGGCATTGTTCCCTTGCCTAGGAGTGCTGGGCTGTCATTGGCTTGCCGGAGCAGGCGGCCTGGGTGGATGCTGCTGTAGTCCCCTTTACTGGCAGGGTGAGAGGTAGAACCACATCCTGTCCATACCGAGCTGGGAGACAGGGTTCCACAGCATGAATAGTTGTACAGGACGGCTTCAGGCTTTACTCAATATACAATACGCCACATTTGTTTCTGCAGCTTCCCTCGTCCTCAGCAGCGTGAGCAGAAAAGACCAAAGCAATCCAGTGATTTCTGGAGAGGGCTGGGAGACCTGCCTTAGTTTTCTCTTAAGGTGCTTCTCTCCAAAGCAGCCACAAGGGGAGGCCCTAGCTGCAGGCACCCTTCTCCCCGCTGGCTTTAGTCATCAATAACCAGCAGGGACCAGCATTTTCCCCCTAGCACCTCTGCAGAGATTTGCTTTTGGATGGAAACAAAGGGCCACCTTCTTTAACTGCTGTAAGGCTGCCAGCAATGAAGTTACAGCCTGGCACGAGTTGTGTGGCAGGGCTATTGCCAAGCCATGTAGCTGTAGCCCTCTCACCAGCCTTGAACCTACTGGCTGAGCAGCGCAGAGTCTGTCAGCACAAACCAACATTCAAGTGCACAGGGACTGACCCTGAAGCTACGAGGCAGCTTTCTACTGCAGGATGCAATTGCTTCAGGGATGCAGCAGTGTTACTTAGGAGACTCCCAAGGAGGAAATAATTAGGGTTTAGAACATTAGGAGAGGCTCATTGTTTTAGTACAAGACATCAGCTACCTCCAATAGAGGTGGGAGATAGGGGCCCTACCCACCTCTTCACCGGGACCACTTGTGTTCAGTAGAGGCTGTTGCTAGTAGCTTCTAGTGTTCAATAGAGGCTGTTGCTAGTAGCTTCTACATGCAGCTCTAGGACGCAGCAGACAAGCCCTGTAGAGTGTGGTAAAGAGGATGTAGTACACTCATTTAACTGATCTTTTGTCCTGGCCATATGGAATGCGATTAGAGCAGCCTGGGTGATTGGTGGAAGCTGTGACTCGCTAAGGCTGCGCAGTGGTGAAGGCTCTGGAACACCTGGGGAGCACAGCTATGCCTTCCTGTTCATTGCCCCGGGAAGCAGCAATAGGGGATTAAGCAAGAGCGCTTTAGAGAATGACCTCAGCTGCCCCTATACTGCTTTCTCAAGCAGTCCTTTTCTTGGCCTTTGCTGGTGCCCTGAGGTAGAACGGTGCTCCCCTCTGAGGTGAAGGACAAGGTTAGTTCAAATATGGCTCTTACTACCTAGCGGCTGCTAATGTTTCCAAGGTTACTATGGCAGTTGTCCTTTGTTGCTGCAATTAAAGTCTTTGCCCACTTTCACCTAAGCGGATGCAAAGGCTCCATATCAGCTGACCTGTGAAATGGCGTTTAAGAGGCTGCTTTGAACTCTGTTGTAACGGTTACACTCCCATCCCCGCTGTGTCAGCAGCTAGATAGCAAGAATTTTATTCCCAGGGTCTCATCTCCGGTAAGTCAGCTACGACAACTCAGCCTAAGCCAGGAGCAGGCTTTTTATTAACTCCATAACATTGGTACATCACATTCGGGAAGCTGGAGCTTTTTTTAAGATAGGAGAAAGCTGAGAAATGCAGTAGTTTCATACAGAATAAGCCAGATCTAAATTATGGAAAGATTACACCCAATATTTCTCTCTCATGTTCAAAGCCTGTTTGATTGTTCAGCCAGCTTGCCTTTAGAATCAGCGTTGCTTAGTACGCTGGCTGACTCAATTCTGTTTGTTTTACCGGACTGTCTCTTAGCACCTCTCAACTTACTTGAGAAATCTTTACTATTTAAAATCCTAGCAGGTGGCCATTTGAACAGAGCTCGCGACAGCCAAGATTTCAGAACTGGAGCATTGGTCACTATTGTTGCAGGTTACTTAGAGCAGTCAAACTACTGTATAAATATTCCCTCTTCTGCCTTCCCTGTACAAAAACACTAGCTTTTTCTTGTTACCCTTTCAAAGGGCAGACCTTAAGCTTACGGTTATCATTGCACACTGTCTAGAAATGGGCATTTTGTTAGGGTTTGGGGGCGGGGTACATTAGGTGAGCAAGAAACAGCTCCAGCTATTTGCTTAGATTAGGAGGTACGTAAATTTCACTTTCATTACTTAATTGAATGTATGAAGACAGATGCTGTGAATAGTTATCTGAGCATGGGTGGTGCCCAGTAACTCACTAGAACTAACTTTACATTTCAGGATGAAGGGGGAACAGTTTTAGGAATCTGTTGTCACTGGTCATTTATATACACGTTTATTACCTGTTCAGGTTCTTTTTTCATGTTGGTGGTTAGTTGCTCTAACAGAAGCATTATAGACTGATGCTGTTCATAGGTTGTACAATCAATGTTTTAAATAAACACCACCTTTAATTGTTTTGACCTGGGTGTAAGTTGCAGCTGCTGTGTAAGACTCCCATGTGTATTTTCTTCAAAAAGAAAGCAGAAGTTTAAAGGGGCCTAAAAGTTTCAGTCACTAAGATTTGGATTTTCATTCGTACTTAAGCTCCATTGACTTTCAGTGCGATTTGTGCTCTTAACTCATGGGCTTTGGAAACTCCTACCCTAATGTTTGCCCACACTGAACTCCTAAAAATGAAGTGACCCTTTGTACAGGAAGGAAGCAAACAGCAGACCAGAGGTATAACTGTAGTAGAGTCAATGGAGAAACTAAACTCGCTTAAAGCATCACCCTTGTTATCCATGTCTGAGCCAGAATGGTTGGCTGCAGCAGTGGGGCTGAAATGGGTATGGCAGATCCCCTTGTGGCAATCAACAGCAGCTGTAGGTTGCCAGGAGTAGGGCAGTTAGGTAGCAGATTGCTGTTACAGTCCCACTAGAAGAGATCCCATAGCACAGTGGTTCTCAAGCTTTTGTAGTGGTGGCCCGTTTCACATAGCAAGCCTCTGAGTGCGACCCCCCTAATAAATGCTGGAGGCAAAGCGGGGTTTGGGGTGGAGGCTGACAGATCATGACCCCCCCAGGGATCCCAACCCCCAGTTTGAGAACCCCTGCCATAGCAGGAGCAGCTAATAAGCCCAATAGGCCAGTCAATATTATCCCCGCTACAGGTCCAAGGCTACTGAATTCTCTTCTGACATGCCTTCTGCTACTGGGGCCTGACTGGCTCTAGAGAAGCCTTGCAAAGGAAGGACTCCAGAAAACGTGTGTAAGAATGGGGCACCGGCTCAGTGGGTTGCTGTGACTCTAGAAGATCCTCCTGTAAGCCCAGCCTTACGTCCATCCCTATTCAGTGAAGCATGTGAATGCTTTGAAGAGTGAGGGCTTTTGTCTCCACTGCAAGATACCAATTCAGCAAATGTTTTTAAACCCTCACTTCTGCTCCAGGCAGGAGAGTTTAAACCCAGGAATTTAAGGAAAGCAAAATGAAGTTGAGCAACCAAGTCACTTAGCTACTTAGCAGGAGTCGGGGGAAAGCTTTTTGTCATGTGATTTTTCAATTGCTAGCTCCTCAGAAGAGCATGCAGTGCTTTACAGGGGGATGGAGGCTCAAAGTGACTCTTCTACTATTACAGCTAGAGTCCAGTCCATTGCCCAAGTTGATACTCAGCAACAGTGAAAGAATACAGGAGTCTTGCCGGCCCCCTGCTCTAGCAACCGGAGAGTACTGAAGGGGATCTTTGCACTCGTGCTGTGGAGGATACAGAAGGCAATCCTCCTTTGAAATGTAAAGAAAGGGGAAAAAACGCTCTGCTGAAGTACTGAAGCACCACCACAGTACAATGTATTAAAATACATACATTTTAATATAAAGACAAAACTTCAAAGCATTGTTTCAATTACAAATCAAGGTAAAAGACAAGAAATTAAAGTGGAAGGGAGGGGAGAAAAAAAACTAACTCTTGCATTGTGGAAAATTAGAAGGGTGGGTGGAAAATATATATATAATATAATATATATATAATATTACATACATATATACACACCAGAAGAATTCACACTAGTTCTATGGAAGAATGACAGGGCAACATACCAGTATAAAAAAAACCAAATAAAGATAAATTAGGGGAGGTTTGAATTTTAAATAATTCAATTTCATAGGCTAAAATGTATAAACTAATTCCTATTCACTAGGAAACATCCCATAGCACATGTTCTAAGCAAGAAAATGGGTATTGTTTTAAATCCATTGAAAAATTAATTTTTTATTAGTAGTTAAAAGTTTTACTAATCAATTCCTGAGCAACAGCAACTTCATTTGCATTCCTCTGTCCAGTCCCACCCAGCGAGGGCAGACTCCCACGCCTAAAACGCTTTCTTACAAAGAACAGAGACCTAAAGAATTGGGTTTTAATTTAAAACTGACCACTTCAAGAATTTATATTGGGGGGCAGGAGGGTGGAGCCAAGCAGACTGGATTAGTCCATTCTGCCTTCTCTTTAACAATGCCAGAAAAATCACCTTTCCAAAGGACAATTCCACTGCACCAGAAAAGCAACCAGATGTACCTTAGAATTACAGGGTCAAACTTGAGAGAACTTCAGCATTAACATCTTCAAACCTTTAGGAAGCGGTTAGCTCATCTTTAATATTGAAATCAAAGCATGAAAACTAAAAAGACTCTGACAGTCACAAGCGCTAAATATACTGGAGGGATATTTTCAGTTTTAGTATTGGGTTTATGCCCTGTTCCACAACAGCATCTGGTATTGCAGTATTCAGTCTAGATAGATATTTATAATGCATAAAGGATACATAAAATATGGCACAAAATTTAATGAAAAAGGTGAGTCCAACTCATTCGTGGAAAACAAGGATCATCTATGGAATTGTTCAGGGGAATGGGGAAGGGCATTTGAATTAACAACAAAAATAAATCAAATACTTTTACACTGACTAAATTTGTACTTAAAAAACCTCATCTATAGTGATTTTCCTCAGTGCTGCAGAGATAGTTCACAAAAACACTTACTAATTTCTCCCCAAGCTGTGATTTAAATAGATTAATGTTTTACTGTCCACTGTACAGTTTCCATTTCTTATTAGAAAGCAATAATCGTTCCAAGCTATCAGTGCTCTTAATGCTTTTGGCTCAGGCAAAACAAGAGAAGCAGAATTATTAACAGCAACAACCTATGAGTATTAATTAGGAGAAAACTCTCTAAAGAAAAAGGGTGTCAAAGGTTTCATGCTTCCAAGCTCTGGGATACAAAAGGTTTGCTTTTAATACCGAAAGCAAACTGACTATATGTGGTCAATACATTCCTAACGGAGCCCTCGCAGAGTTAGAAAGCTAATTACAGCTCTTCAGGGAACAGCACCTGTGACTGAAGTTATTTCGCAAGCCTGGTTAGACTAATGGATAAGGCTACTCCCAGGTGAGTGAAGAAAACTGTCAAGTGTATTGATAGTCACTGGGGAGGAAAATAGCACCATCTTCAGAATGGGTGGAGGGTGGCTTCTATTGTAGGCCTGAAGTCTAGTCAGTGGGGGGGAAATGTGTCCCTCAAACAGCAGCTTATGAGAGACTGCAGCAAGCCCCAGCTCTTGACATTTCCCTCCACCATTCCAGCAACCATGGGAAAGGTGGGGTGCAGCCTGGTGTGTGTGTATTGTATCTATATATAAATAAGAAGAGTGATGAGACACTAGCAGTTTAAGAGTCTGATCCTGCCAACACTTCCTTGGGAGCATAGCATTTACTACCAGTGAGATACTCCTGGTAGAGGAGTCAGTGTTTGCAGGACTGGGACATAACAGAAAAACACCACGCACTTAGTGCTGAAGTTACTTCATCCATCCCTCCAGCTACACCACAGGGAGCAATCCTGCTCTCATTGAAGTCAATGTTAAAATTTGCCTGGCTGACTCCAGAGAGAGGGATTGGACCCTGAATTCATCTTACAAACACCCTTGGAAATTGTCTGAGTCTCCCTAGACGTCACAAAGAACTGGGCTCCACGAATGAACTTTGCCAGAAGGGAAGCGTGTGTTGGACTTTAAAAAAAACAATTGGAAGCGACTGTGTTCCCACAAATGACCGCTCACATTAGTGAGACCTAAGTAGACACAGCAGCATACGGCAGGCATTGCAAATTGTCCCTGACGCAGTGTGGTTAATGCAGATCCCTGCCCTGACCCACTCCAGCGATCCCGGTCCTAGGACTCTCAGCAGAACGGCAGGATTCTGGGAACAAACAGCATTGAAACCCAATTTACTTTAATGCACAATCCAAGCAGGATTTGAACCCAGGTCTCCAGAGGTGAAAGTCTAGCAGTTGCCTGTGTCCCACCCTATCACCTATTGTCAGTTTCTCCAGAAAGGGAAGGTGGGGAAGGGAGGGATTAAAGATTTCCTCTACAAGGATCTTTCTTTAACTAAACCCAGCTATCAATAAAGGATTGAATCACCCAGGATAGGAATAAAACTTGCCTCCATTTCGTCTCTACCTCTCCTTCTACCCTTCATTTTTTGTCACTATTTTATCAGCTCCAATATAAAGGGGAATGAGGGAGGGAGGATTGGGTGTAAATGACATTCTTTTCCCTGCCTCTCCATCCATTTTTAGCTCCATTTCTGTGCTTAAAAATCAATCTTCTGAGGTACATTACATTAGATCATTTTCCCCATAAGCAAAATTACTTCACCCTAGATGTAGACACAAACTTTCAAAGCCAAGAGATTAAAAATAGTATTGCAGTATTCAAGCAACACCCCTCAGAGGAAATGAGAGGAAATCCATCCAACCATCAGCGGGATAAGGCACATGGGCCACTGCAAGCTACACCCAGCGAAAGGTTTGCATGGCCCGAGATGTAGCTTAATTGATCAGCCTAAAAACAGCCAAGCAAATTTGAAGCAACTGCTTGAACTTTGGAATCTTGAGATTAAAGGTGCAACGTAATTGCTTGTTTTCACTCCTCGAACAACAGGCCTGAAATCTGTTAGTTCAGCAGATCTCCAATACCCAAATCAATGAGTTCAGAGCCACTCACTGCTCTGCAGCAAAACGGGAGTAGATTAAAACAGACTCTGGCACCTTAATAACTGGGCCAATTTAAAAATAAAGCCATGTGATTTTGGGGGTGGGACAGTGTGACAGGATGGCACGGACTGGAGCTTTAAAGCTCTCGACTATCCACAGGCCAGTGATGGGCACAATCACTTCAGAAGCAAGCAGCAAGCACAAAGCACACCTCCAGTGACAGCAAAAGCAGCCATTGGACAAGATTCCCCCCACCCCCCGTCAACGCACCTACCTGCACAACCGGTATAGAGGGGAATTCAGCCTACATGGCCCACTCCAATTCTTGGCCTCTCTCCTGAGCCTGCTCACAAAGCCAATTACCAATAGAGTGAATGCCCTTTGTTCTAACAGATCTCTATCCCCACAGTAAAGGGACCAATAACAATTGAG